TTATTTATTTAACCGTAAAAAAAAAAAAAAAAAAAAAAAAAGAAAAGAAAAGAAAAAGTAAACAATATTGATTCTAAAAATAATTATTATTCGGGTTTAATTTTTTAATTTTTTACTTTTTAATTTTTTAAATTAATTTAGATTTAAAAAAAAAATAATGTATTTATTTATAAAAAAAAAAAATTAATAAAAATTGAAAAAATTTTAAAAAAAATTTAAAAAAAAAAAACAAAATTTTTTAAAAAAAATTTAAAAAAAAAAAAAAATGAAAATAAAAAAATAAATAATTTGAAAATTTGGAACCGTTAGTGGGGGCGGCACCTTATAAAAAAAGAAATGTGAAAAATATGAAATAAAATATGAAGATAGAAATAAATAAAAAAAAAAAAAAATAGAGAAATAATATTTAGAAGTAAATACAAAGAAAATAAAAACAGAACTGTTTTTTTTTTTTTTATTTAATTATTTTTTTATTTTTATTTTGAAGATAAAAAATTTTCAGTTAATTGATTATTATTAAAATTATAGAAAAAATTATTGGAGATGTTATTTTTAAAATATTTAAAATTATTTATATTTATATTAAAATAATTTAATAGTAGTAGTTCCAATTGATCTCTATTCTCTACTTTAATTACATGTCTTGCATTTGAAGGTGATATAATTGTAAATGAGTCGTTTGCATAAAAATAGTATCCATATTCACATAATCTACTAGAAACTGGTATTCTATAAGTGGTTTTATTAAATCTAATAGCTCTTTCATAGATAAGGTGGTTGGTTACTGGGTCGTTTAATTTAAATTCAAAAATTGGTTTGTATTCATCTTCTTGGTCTATTAGTTTTCTTTGTAAAATGAATGATGGGTTATCGGATTTAATTGATTGATTTTCGATTACTCTATAGTAGCATGGAGGTAAGAGGTCTGAGGTTCCTTTAATTGGTTCATAGTTTCCAATTTCAATTGGGTAAAAGTAATTTAAAAAACCCAAACCAATATCGAAAAGATAATATTTACCATCCTTCCATTTGAATACATTACCGTAATGATATTCGAAAATACTGTATATTTTATTTGGGGAATCTTCCATTGCTTTAATTAGTTTAATATCGATACCAAATTCTGTTAATAGTAAACCCCATATTAAATTTAAATGGAGACATCTGCCACCCCTTCCCTGGATACAGCCTACAATAGCATCGATATCGAATTGATAATTTCCTCCAATGAGATCAAAGTTTGAGTATGGAACATGTTTGGTAAATATTTCTGAAATCCTTGCAATGTCATCGAAAGTGTCGATTTTAAAATCATCAATTTCTATGTTTAGTTTTTTTGATAGTAATTCAGTTATACTTATATTTTTTTTTTGAAATGTTTTATAATCAATAATTTCTATTTTATCCATACTTTTAGTTTATATTTTATAATTTTTATTTTTTAATTAGTTTTTTATATTTTTTTAATTTTATTTTTATTTATATAAATTTATTTTATATTCAAAATTATAAAAAATAAATAAAAAATGATAGTATTTTATTTTATTAATCAAAATAAAATAGCGAATAGTATTTCTTATTTTTGTATACAATCCATGTAAATATGATATTTATGATTTAACCACTGGGGTGGTTTAACCCACGCACACATCCATTTTGAAATATAAAAAAAATTTATTGGTACTATATGGTTATAAAAATAGATATAAATTTAAGAGTTTAAATAACAATTAAAATCTTATATAAATAAATTTTATACATTATTTAAATTAATTTTTACTTTTAATTAAGATTTGGAGTTTTACATTTATATTTTAAAAGTATTTTTTAAATTAAATGATTTTAAATAATAAAATGAAATGAAATAAAATAAAATAAAATAAAATAAAATAAAATAAAATAAAATAAAATAAAATAAAATAAAAAATAATGCATATGTTTATTTATGGAAGAGAATCCTATTGGATTCAATTTTTTTAATTAATGTTGCTATTAATTAATCTATTAGCATCGATATTGGCTTGACATTCAAAATGGTTTTCTTCTTTTTTAAAGAATTTAAATAGACGAATATCTAAATTGAAATGCTTTAATAAAATCATTTCAAATTGTTCTATATCGTTAATTTTCGTAATACTTTTAGAATTCGATGGTGAAAAAATAGTTAAAGAGTTATTTGCAAGAAAATAATACCCCTCTTCTCTTAAAATACTAGCAACAGGGAAACAATACGGGGATTTAATAAACCTTGAAGAACGCTCTATAATAGCTTGAAATGTTATTTTTTCTTTAAACTTAAATTCAAAAACTGATATAAAGTCATTTTCTTCTTGTGTATTATTATTAATTAATTTTTTTTGCAAAATATATTTTTTATCTGGACCATAATTATTATTATTGTTTTCTATAACCCTAAATAAAGATGGTGGTAAAGATTTTGAATATCCTTCTATTGGAGTTTCATTACCAATTTCTATTGGATAATAGTGATTAAAATATCCCAACCCCACATCATGAAAGTAGTATCTGCCATCCCTCCATTTAAAAACATTACCATAATGAAATCTAAATATGTCATATATGTTATAAGGGGATTCTTCAATTGCCTTTACTAGATGAACTTTAATACCAAATTCGGTCAATAACAAACCCAATGCAATATTTAAATGTAAACACCGGCCACCCTTATTTTGAATACAATTAACAATGGTATCAATATCAAAATTTAAATTCCCTCCTATTAGTTCAAAATTTGAAAATGGTATTTCCTTACTAAATAATTGAGAGATTGATGCTATATCTTCTAATGCTTCAATTTCAAATTGGCTTGATTCTATTTTTAGTTTTTTTGAAATTAATTCTTTTATACAAATATTTTTTTTATTATAATTTTTATAATCAAAAAATTCAAAATTACTATCCATTTTTATTGCTCCTCTTATTTTTTATAATATTATTAAAATAAAATTGTTAATCAAAAAAAAAAAAAAAAAGAAAAAAAAAAAAAAAAAAAAAAAAAAAGAAAAAAAAATTTATTTTAAAAAAAAAAAAAAAACAATATTATTTAAAAACGCTAATGTAAAAGGGGGGGAGGGGATATATTTAAAAAATTAAAATTTAAAAACCCGTGAGGGGGGGAGTATTTTTCTTTAATTTTTTTTTTTTAAAAAAAATAAAAAAAATATCTTGGGACCATCTTTTTTCTTTTTATAAAAAAAAAACCCCC